TAAAAAAGCTGTAAAACGAAGGAAACCTTCCAGAAGGTAAAATAAAAAAGACAGAGTAAGAAAATACATGAGTCATAAAATTAAAATATCAACCCTACATTTTGACTCATAGGAAGTCCAGAAAGAAAGAAAACAGAAAATGAAAGAGAAAAATTATCAAGGCGGGTTGGGGGGGCGGGCGGGAGAACACGTTTCAGAACCAAAGGACGAGAATCCTTAGATTGCAAAGCCATCAAGTGTGTAGCCCTGTGAGTAAAAAAGACCCACACCCAGGAACATTGTGAAATCCTGGAACTTCATGGGGGAAATATCCTAAAAGCAACACGACAGGTCACGCTCAAAGTATTAATCATCAAAACAGATTATCACCAGAGCAATTGTGCAAATCTAGAAGCCAGTGGAACAGTACTTTCTAAATTTTAGTGGAAACATGGATTTCATCCCAGACTTCTATACCCAAACTGTTAATTAAGGGTGAAGACAAAGACCTTTTTCGGAATGCAGGGACTCAAATGACTTCCAGGGCATTCTTCCCAGGGAGCCACTACAGGATGTGCTCCAGCAAAATGAGGAGGAAGCCAAGAAAGAAAAACACCAGGGGGCGGAGAACGCAGGCACGGAAAGCACCCGACCAGGTTAGAGCAGGGCTGCAGAAAGCTCCAGAAACGATGCCTCTAGTGGTGGGGAATGGAACTGATATATTTAGGCACGTGGGAGTTGTTGATGGGCATAAAATAGAGGTGTTGGAGCACGTGGAATAAATGAGTGATAAGTTGCTGTACAACCAAGCAGATGAAAAAACAAAGAAACATTGAGGTCATGATTCACTCTAGGAAAAAGAAAAGATTATCTAAAAAGGAAGGGATGGCCACAGTGCATTACTTAACCAGCTCAAATTGAGCAATGTTTGCAAAGTCGTAATAACCTAAATACCTACTTTTGACTAATTAAAAGTTCATATAACCATTGGTGGCACTAAGAAAAAGGAAGTACGAAATGAGCGTGGGAGCGATAAGCCTTTATTTTCCAGGGTAGAACATGAAGAGAGATCTCAAATTGATAGGTAAAGAAATCCTCGTGCAAATGTAGTGTTGGGCATTCGTGTTTGGGTAGAAATTTACCAAAGGCCCATGAGTGTTTTTTCAGGGCCCTTCCTAAAGGTGCCCTCGGTGAAAACCATGGGCCCCGCCCATGGTGGTCGGAACAGAGGCAGACAGCCCCCATCACTGTTCTTGGGTACAGAGACCAGCCTGGAGCTGGTCCCACACACTGTTCAGATATGGGAAACTGAATTCCTCTCTTCATTTACAGCAGCGGTTCTCAACCTGTGGGTCGCGACCCCTTTGGCAGTCGACCGACCCTTTCACAGGGGTCACCTAGGACCATCCTGCATATCAGATATTTACATGACGATTCATAACAGTAGCAACATTACAGTTATGAAGTAGCAACGAAAATAATTTTATGGTTGGGTCACAACATGAGGAACTGTATTTAAAGGGCCAGAAGGTTGAGAACCACTGATGTACAGCCACATGTAAGGAGCAGAGTCTTCTCTTTTAAGCTGCCTTTCTCCCAGATTGCTCCCATAAATAGGAGAAAAGGGAAGAGCCACTGACTTTCAGGATACAGACTTTCTCACTGGACCCATGTGTTACCTCCTCGTTACTCGTACGAATCAAAAACGAATCAAAAGACAAAGGCACTTCTTCATAAACTGCACTCCGTTGCCATCACGCTTGGGAGGGTAAGGGAAGGTTGTACTTAGATGCTTGTTTCTTTTCGTTGATTTGCAAAACGCCAGAGAAATTATAGGGAACGGAGGAAAAAAAGAGCCATAAATACAAATTAATTCCTTTTGTGTTTATGTTCTTTTTTCCATGGGTCAGGCTCCATTTTTTTTTTTTTTAACTCTCCAGGTGTGATGGGAGATCTCACATCCATACAGGAGAGTGGAGAGTTAATTAAAATTGTTGCTCCTACTCCCGGAAAGCAGCGCCTTTTCATTCAATGAACGGGCTGGCTTTGGAGTGTTGTCGGTGCATTTGTGTCCTCGCTGGAGTGTCGCACAAAAGCAGATCAAAGAGACCCGTCCCTCCACACAGGTTTCCTATCATCTTCCCCGCTAATGGACTCGGAAGCGCCTTCCACGGGCTGCATGGGGCTCGTGCCCTATTTTAGAAACGCCGCCTCGCGGTGTTGATGCTATGCAAGCCAGCTTTGATAGATGCTGTGGCAAACCACACTGCACGTTAATTAAGCCAGACCAGCCCCGGCAGTCGGAGGCGTGGGAGAGTCTGGCAGAGAGTAACACCTCACCCCCTGCCGTGTGTATTTTGCTTTTCAACCCACCATGTGACAACCAGATATTAACACTTGAGATTGAACCCTCAGCTCTCACAAGCCACCTCGGGTTCTGTTGTTGTGTTTTCCCATTTCCTGTGCGTCTTTATGATTCTGTACTCTCCGGCTGCTATCCCCTACCCGGAGGGGGGAAACTGTTTGGGAGAAATCCTGCTGTCTCTCTCTTTAATGTGGTGACAAAATGCAATAAAACCGAGCAAAACACAAGCGGCCCCTGCGAGGCCTGTCTGAGCAGGCAGGCCAGGCGGCGGCCGAGGGTGGCCACAGTCTTGCCGCCCTTGAGTGCCAGCAGAGAAAACCCGGCCTGGGCACCTCACCGATAAAAGGACTCCATTCTGCCGTGCAGGCCTTTGTGAGGCGCCAAAGCTTGTCCTGGTTGCCATGGCTACTGTCTGATTGTGGAGGGTTTGTCACAGCGACTGATAAAGTGGGAAGGTTATTCTTGATAGGCCCGAGTAATCCTAACCTCGCAGAGCTCTAGGGTGCGGACTGAACTCTCTTTACATCGGGAGTGCAGGGCTGGGGGCAGGGGCTCTCAGGGTGAGGCAGCCCCAGCGGGTGCCCAGCAGGAGGATGCTGGCCAGTGCTGGTCTGGAAGGCTGGTCTGGAAGGCAGGACCCTTTGTGTCCAGGGGGTCAGGCAGAAGGGGAGGTGCTGTGTCCTTTGCTGCCATCTCTGTCCTGAGTGGGGCTTCAAGGGACAGGGCCAGAATAGGGCCCCTCTACCCCTGACCCGTAAATAAATAGGTTACTCCTGTACCGCGCTCTCCTCCCCTCCCTCCTTCCCGTCCTACTCCCCCTCCTTTAACTTCCTTTTCTCCTCCTCCTCCCCCTTCCCTTCTCCTCCCTTCTGTTCTCCGCCCTTCTCCCTTCCTCCCCTCCATTCCCTTTTACCAGCTGTTCCTTTAGAAGTCCCACTTCTTGTTCTCCTCACATGGAGAATGATGGGAAGGCAAGGTGTGAGTGACAGCTGACGGATGCTGCCTCAGCCTCGCAGACTGTCACAGCGGAGACCTAGTGGGTGATGTAGGCAGAGTGTCCCCGAGGGCGAGGGCGCTGCCTCAGAACTAACTCCTGGGAGGACTCGAACACCGATTCCCGGGCCTCAGCCCAGAGTGTCTGGTCTGGTTGGTCTGGGTTGGGTCCCAAACTCTGCATTTCTTTTTTTTTTTTTTAATTGATTGGGGTGACATTGGGTAACATGATCATAGAGGTTTCAGGGGAGGGTTTCTCTGTTACAAGATCTGAATATTGCCCTGTGTGCCCACCACAAGCTCCCAGGCGTTGCTGATGCTGCCGGCCCAGGGAGCACCGTGAGTGCCACTGACATAGGCCAGGACTGATTCGATGCAGTTGAAGAAACGGATACATCCGTTGCCAGCTGACCAGGTGACTTGTCGACACACTGGGACGGGTGCTCCGTGATAGGAGCTTTAAAAGCCATTTGAGGAGGCAGAGCTGGTTGTCCCCTCGTCTCCCTTCCACTCCTCCAGCCCAGGGCAGCCAGACGAGCTGGTTCTATTCCCAAAAAGACCTCCAGCAGGACAGCCCCTGGCCAGGACGGCCCCTCCGTTAAGCCCACCCTCCTCGGGGATCGAAGCCCGGCGTGGTCTCCGTGTGCACCTGCTGGAGCTCCCCCCTGGATGCCCTGGGCCCAGCCCTGAGTCCCGGGGAGCCTGCCTCGAGCACGGCCCACGTCCCTCCTCTTCTGCTGGCCTTCGAAGCCTCGCGGCCCTGCCAACGGGCCCTTTGTATCCTGGTTTCTTGGGTGTCTGTGCTGTTGCCTCTGCTGGACTGTGAACCCCAGCCCAGGACGGTGCTTCCATCCACGTTGCGCCCACCACGGCTTCGAAATACTAGCAGAATGAATCCGCGTGGCCACCTCGGTTGGAAGGAATCTGGATACATGTAGAGATGCTCAGAGGCCAACCTGAGATCGGGAGTCCCGTGGAGACACAGGCCAGGGGTGGGGCTGCACTTCAGTGTTAGTGAGGAGCCGGAATAAGAAACTAGGCCTGATGCAGGGGACCCATGCAGTCCTCACACTGGGGTTCTCTCCCTGTGGGAGCAGGACTGAGTTTTTAAACTCAAAGGCAAAAACAAACAAACAAAAATAAAGTACAAGGAAAAATTCAAAGGCAGGTGTTGGGCAAGTCTCCCAACCCCCGATCCTGATTTGAAATAAAACACGGGCAAGTATTCATGTACCCCTTGTCGGCAGGCTGCATAGCAGAGGTGTGTGTGTGTGTGTGTGTGTGTGTGTGTGTGTGTGTGTGTGTGGATGCAAATGGCTTGATCATTTGTCACTGTAACTTCACTCCCCACGACATACTCTGAAATCGTCCGCATCAGCATGTGTTGTCTGTCATATGCCCTGCATCCGTCTTTGAGACAACGTGATTGTGCTTCTTCCATGAAATGAGCATAAAACAAAATTGACGGATTAATCCTTTGGTTCTAATTCCTTGCCACCTATGCGGGCTGACATGGGGCCAGGAGAGGTCCCGTGTTGGCAGTTGGACTCTGAACCCTAAGCATCCTCAGAGCCAGGGCCTCTGGCTGCTTTGTGGGGGTAGCGGCTGAACAGTCCCCTCTCCGGAGGCAGCAGCGTCCCTCACAGTGGCCTTTCTCCCTTAGGGCGTCGAGGTGCAGACAGACTACGTGCCCCTGCTGAACTCGCTTGCAGCCTACGGCTGGCAGCTCACCTGTGTGCTGCCAACACCTGTCGTCAAGACTAACAGGTAACGGAAGGGTCATTGCTGTTGCTGAGCGCTCACTCTGTGCAGGCGCTGTTCCCAGGAAGCGCTTCATGTACATAACCTGGGAGGCGGGTGTGGCTGCAGGAGCTCTCCTGCTGGGAAGTGGCAGGGCTAGGATCTTGGATTCCTAACCCCCTGCCCCAGAGCTCTCACTGCACCCCTCTTCCTACATGGGGAGCCTTGGCCAGCGGAGCACTCCTGCCCAGCATGTCAGAGATGAGCCAGCTAGACTGAGGAGACTCGGGGCTCTCAGCTGCCGAAGAAACTCAGCACCTACTATGTGCTCTGTGCCGGGCTAGAGAGGCATTTTGTATATAAAATCTTTTTCTAGCTGAGGATAGTGTGGCCAGGGAGGGGGGAGGACAATCATGGTGCTGGTCAGCAGCCCCACAAAGAACATGCGAAGATCTGGAGCCGGGCCCTTGCTTGTGGCACTCCCTCGGATTTCACATTCATGGTGGTTTGTCCACCCCCAGCTCTGCCCACCACCTTAAGCCATGGGCTTGTCCGAGTCATCCCAATGCTAAAAGCCTTGCATCTGGGTTTGCTATCAAAACTAGTCCTCTTAACTATCCTCTAAGCATAGATTGGATTCCCATTTTACAGATGAGGAAACTGAGGCTCAGAGAGGCTCAGCCAACATACCTGAGGCCACACAACCACTAAGGGGCAGAACCTGGGGCTAGAACCTCAGTTGAAAAATCAAGGGCTCCCTCTCCTTCGCCTCTTGGCCCACCTATAGGGATGCTCCTGCCCGTGGCCCTCGGTGCTCTGCCTGCCCCGATCCTGCTGCACACCCACCACTCCAGGGTGATGGACAGCATGGGGCAAGGCTGGTGATCTGGGGGGATGGCAGGCAGTGCAGCCCCGGGCTCAGACTGAGGGTGGCGAATGATCAGTGCCTTTCCTGTGTCCTTCTGCAAGCTCATCTGGGCTCTCAACATGTCTCCCGCCTGACACTGGGACACGGTGGCCTGTGCACCTGCAGGAGCCAGTCTGTAGCCACCTCTGGCCCTTGGCCACTGGGAGCCACCATAGCTGCTCAGCCAAAACTCCTGTGGGCACAGGGCAATGCAGCAGAGTAGAAAGGATCCTGCCTGGGTTTGTGGCTTGCAGACTTGAACCCAAGTCCCCAGTCTGCCCCCTTGGGCCAGCCAGGTAGCTTCTTGGAGTCTATGTGCCAGTCCACGAAGTCTGGTCCAGAAGCCAGAGGACTACAAGAGTCACAATGAGCATGTCTTTGAATGTGAAGGCCCAGCTGGTTCTGGACTAAGCTCAAAGGGTGCAGACAGGTCTCTGTCTGTCTGTCTGTCTCTCGTCACACCTGCCAAATAATTCTCCCTAACCCTCCACGTCCCTGTGCCTTAAATGACCCCTAGTAGTGGAGTGGGAGACCGCACTGAACCAGGCAGATGCGAGCTTAAATCTTGGCTGTCTGCGCTGGAGCCTGCTCCTTACACGAGCTTTCATTTCCTGTCTATAAAGACGTCTGCCCCGGTCCTTGGAACACTGTGGAGGCCTAAATGAGACATTATGTGTGGGTCACCCAGCCCAACCCCGGAATAAAACAGGAAATATGCGTGTCTCCCCCTGACCCTCTGGCATGGTGTCCAAGTAGGGACACGGTGTCTCAGCAGGGAGGACATTTGCAAAATAATAGATTTAAGAAAGTGATAGGAAGGGTGGAGGCGGGAGAGAAAACCACCCCCTTCACAATATTTCTATCATCTCTAAAGGCAGCTCCAGGGGTCCTGCCTTCCTGGAGGAAAAACGCACGCACTGTGCCGTAAAAGTGAGCGGCACTCCTGGCCATCCCTCGCCGGCTTGGTTAATGCCACTCCCTGCCTTGCCCGCCGCCTTCCCGCGGGTGTGCCTGCAGGAGCGGCGTGGCCTGCCTCAGTGAGGGCGAATCGGGCCTCGGCCGGGACCTGTGTGCAGCCAGCCCTCCCCCCGCTGTCCCTGTGACGGCTGATGGGCAGAGCTCTTCACCCAGGTCCTCATCCTCCTGCCCATCCTGGGCCAGCCAGGCCCCTCGCGGCCTCACTGCCAAAGACAGATTTGGAAGAGCACGCCACCCCTCTGAGAGTCACTGAAGAAGCCACTTTGTCATCATCAGGCACGATGCCAGCTGTTCTTTCACATCAGGGGGAGGGCGTTTCTCACCGCAAAGCTGACTTTGCAGAGATGCCCACAAAGCTTGTGTTGGGCGCCCGAGATGGCCCCCCGGAAGCCAGGGCGGGTGGCCTGGGGTGGGAGAGTGGGGGCTTCCTGTTCTGACCCCTCACTGTCATTCCTGCGGGTGGTCAGCCTTGAAGCTAGGGATGCAGTGTCTGCGAGGTTTGCGGCTCCCCAGGTATAACCTCACTCTTTCTCTGCTCCTGTGTGTGACAGGGAGGGAAACGTCTCCACCAAGCAGATCGTCTTCCTTCAGAGACCGTGTCTACCTCAGAAACTCAAGAAGAAGGAATCCAAGGTGAGCGGCCGTGGTTGCCTTTCTCGGGTTTCTCCAGTGGGGCTTCACGCGCAAGGGGGTTTTCCTACCGCAGGTGGGTGGGCAGCCTGCTGCAGCTGCTAACGGCTCCGAGCCCAAGGACACCTGAGCCCCTCGGCGACCTGATCAGGCCTGAAGCTGCCAGAATGGGACAGGCAAGGGCACTGGAGGGCCGCATCTGCCAGCATCCTGCTGGTCGGGCCAGAAAGGCGGACGAGAGAGGTTCTTGCAGACACTCGAGCGTGCCAGACATTCCCCCTGGGCTAAGAATAGGGGCACGGAGTCAGCTGCGTTCTGACGAGATGCTGGGGGTGGAAGACGGGTAGTGTCTCTGCATCTTCATCTCGTTGCACGCTGGCTGAACTCTGGCCTGCCCGGGGAGCCCTCGGGACATCAGAAGTTTGACGATCTTGGCAGACAGACCCTGCGAGAGCCCCTTTGTGACAGCCGCAACCTGCAGGCCAGGCAGCAGCTGGTCTAGACAGAGGTCAGCCTTAGCCTGTGGCAGTGAGCCCTCCAGTCAGGCTGCCCTGCGATCTTCAGGGTCCTTTTCCCCTCCCTGGTCGTTGCGTGAACCGTCCGGGAAACAGTCGTGCTGAGAGACTCTGGCCATGCTCAGAACATCTCCCGTGTTTGATGCGGTCGATCCCGGGTCCTTCCCTGTGTCAGATGATTCTGACGTTCCACACCCCGTGCTTTCCGGTGGGTGTGTCACCAGGTGTCAGGAAGGGGCAGGTGAGTCGAGGGAACCTACCAAAGCCCAAGTCAGTGTCACCTGGAGCCAGCCCGCGCCACCTTCGATGGCCAAGGCAGAGCCTGCTAGGCCTGCTCACACCTCACGCTTGGTAGTCTTGCTTCCTTGTGTTCTTTGGACACGGAGCCTGGACAGGAGCACCAAGCAAGTGGACAGATTGGGGCAGCCCCTCTCCAGCCAACGCATCCAGGGGGAACCCGTTTGTGGGACGAACACCAAGGAAATGGCGCCTTGAAGCCAGTTGAGGGGGAGTGCAGAGAACTCTCTCCAGGCGCTGATGCACATGTGACTGGTGACAGCAGCAGAGAACCGAAAGGCAGCTGCCAAACCACCCTGTACCGCCAGGAGCAGTAGCCACCAGGGGTGGGGGGGAAGGTGGGTCAGCCAGGACTGCTTAGCCGTGGGCTCCGGGGGACTGTGCACATTCACAGTGACATTCAACAACCACGCTGGCAAGGTCTCCACCAGCCACCAGAGGAAGCTGCTTCTGCCTTTAAGAGTGGGAGGGGGTGCTGCCTTGTCCTAGCTGCTCTCCTGGTTGTGGCGCCGACGACTCCCAAAGCAAAGATGCGCAGTTTGATTTTGGTGCAGACCATGCATCTCAGAGGGGCAGCCAGTGGGAACCTGAGCGGGCGGGAGGTTTCAGAGGTGGAGTGTTGAAGCTGGTGTGAGAGAGAGAATCCAGCAGGACGGGAGTCTGATTTTCTGGTCGGTAGAAACTTCCATACAAAGCAACTACGCGAATATGGGTTGGCTGCTTTCTCCTTTGTTATCCCCGACTCATTCCAAGTTTGGATGGGCTGGTGCCGAGCTCTTGTCCTCAGTGTGACCTCGAGAGAGCACCCGGCCAGTGGAGTCCCAGAGAGGGGGCTTCACAGCAGACGCCTTGTCTCCGTCTCCCCGTCCCTGTCACCTGCTGCTCAGCTGACGGGGGGGGGGGGGGGCGGGGGGGGCGTTCTGCTCCCACAGGTCTGTGGGTTCCCGTGACTGGGCAGCAGCCCCATCTCGTCCTCACGGTGCTGAGCGCCTGCAGCACTGACACTGTCGGCTGCTGCCCTCACCTCTTTAAGCTCCTTTTCCTCTTGGCTCCGTCCCACCATCTCCTGGCTCCATCCCACCCTCCCCTCCTGGCTTCCCACCAGGTTCCTCGGGGCTCAGGCCCAGCCATTGCTCCTCTCGCTCTCTTCCCCGTCCTTAGAGAGTCTCTTTCATCCCCAGAGGGAGAACATCTCTCACCACCTCTGCCGTGACCCTTGTATCTGCATTGCAGCCTTTGCTTCTCCTCTGCCCAGCTCACCTGTCCTGTTACTGCTCAGCGATCTCAGAGAAACGGGTGACTGCCCCTCCTCACCTGGCCCACCTCCCCTTACCTAGAGGAATGGGCCGCCACCAACCCAGAGGCACCAGCCCACCTGGGGTCATCTTGGACTTTCCCCATCCCCTTCCCCCAGCAGTGAAGCCTTAGACATGTCTATTTTAGGTCCTAGAATCCCTGGATTCCTCCACTTCTCTTCACCCTCACTTGCTTCAACTACTCCAGTCTCCTAATGGCAGGTCTCCCTTCAAATATGTTCTCTGTTCGGAGACAAAGTGATCTTTTGAAAAAGCCAGTTGGCCCGCCAGTGTGGCTCAGTGGTTGAGCATCCACCTATGAACTAGGAGGTCACAGTTCAATTCCCAGTCAGGGCACATGCCCGGGTTGTGGGCTCTTTGTGCAGGAGGCAGCCAATCACTGAGGCTCTCTCATCATTGATGTTTCCATCTCTCTCCCCATCTCCCTGCCTCTCTGAAATCAATAAAAATATTTTTTTAAGAAAAAACCCATTGAATCATATCACCTCACTGCTGAGAGCGGTTCTTTGTATGAAGATGGAGATCTGGAATGTGGTCCACAAGGCCCCATGTGATCAGCCCCCGGGTCCTGCTTGCCGGCGATGTTGGCCTGCGTGCTCCTCTGTGCCTCTCCTGCCTCAGGGCCTGCGCTTCTGCTCTCCCCTGCCTAGGACACTCTCTTCCTCGGTATTTTCTCAGGGCGGTGTGATACCCTGGGGAGAACCCCTTCCTCTCTTCCCGGGCTCTCCTCTACCTGTTTGTGCTCATTCGTTTATCCTCTCCTGGGAGAGTCTGTCCATGAGAGCACAGACCTGTGCTTCTGACTGTTGCCTGTCCAGTGCCTGGCTTTTAGCTGGTACTCAACAAGTATCTGTTGAATCAGTGAACGAGGAATCAAAATTCTGAGCCCGGGACATGCCTGTTATGTCCAGCATTGAAACTTAAGAAGAGAAAATCCGAAGATTGGCACAGCGGGGACGAAGCACATGTAGTCCTCTTTTAATCAGCAGAGCGACAGAACCCTCTCATCAAGACTTTTCAGCATTTGAAAGAAACCTCTCTGTGTGGGTGTGATGTGGAGCTCCCTCGAAGGTGAGAGGTGGTTTCCGCAATGCCGGAGCGTCTTCCTTCCCGCTAACCTCGCTGACGTGGGGGCAGGTCGCGGACAGTCTTTAAAATGTGTGAATTAAATCCATCAGCCCCTCCTGACACGGAACTCTGGGCACACCCTGCTGTGAGGTGGAGGATTGTCCCTTCCCCTGGTTACTTCTGACATGGACGGCTATGTGGGATCCTTCCTGGTTTAGGCACCAGTGCCACCCCCACGTGGAGAGACACCCTGCGTGGGAAGACTGGCACGGGCATGGCGCAGCCTGGCAGTTAGCAGCTTTGTGTGGAGTTCAGAGACTCCCTGGTACCACCCAAGACATGGGAAGGTCCCCCAGGCCTTTAAGTGGGGATGTCACCCCCCGCCCCTCAGAGCCGCCACCCAGAAAGCAGTCCCTGGGGCTGCACATCCCTGCCTCTCCGCTTCTTCCTTTCTGAGATGTCATCTTTTTGAGCCTTGGGATCTGGAGCAGGTTTTGTTGTTTGTTAGAGACAACAAGAGGGGAAGGGGAAGCCTGGGTGGGGAAGGGAGCAGTGTGACGGTGGGAGGGAGGGAGGCAGAGGGAGCCCGTCCGTGGATGGCACGGCTGGGGTTAGGACCGTGGTCGGCAAACCACTGCTTGAGAGCCACATGCGGCTCTTTGGCCCCTTGAGTGTGGCTCTTCCACAAAATACCACGTGCTGGCGTGCACATACAGTGCGATTGAAACTTCGTGGCCCATGCGCAGAAGTCGGTATTTTGTGGAAGAGCCACACTCAGGGGGCCAAAGAGCCGCATGTGGCTTGTGAGCCGCGGTTTGCCGACCACTGGGTTAGGCGAGCCTGGGGGCTGTCCTTGTGTCCCAGCTGTTTCTCACACAGCAGTCTCTGCCCATGTGCTTTTCTTTGCTTGGTGGTTCTTCGATTGTGGCCCCTGGACCAGCAGTACCAGCCTCAGCGGGGAGCTTGTTAGAAATGCAGTCTGCCTCCCCTCCCCAGGCCCTCGGAGTCCCAGGGGGTGGGGGATCTGGTTGAAGGAGCCCTCCGGCGATTGTGATGCCCACTCCAGTCCGAGAGCCGGTGTCTTAATTGAAGAGTTTAGGCCCCTTTCCAGCCTCACCCGTGGCCCTCCATCCACATTTTATCATTATTGATTTTTTTAAAAATGGGCCTGTCAGGGAGTCTTCAGTGTAGATACTTGTTTTTAATAAACTGAACCAAAGAATCTTTAATGGCCATAAATCTAGACTTCCATTAGCTGACCACCCGGCCTAATGATCAAGTGCCTGGTCTAGCAGATGCATCTGAACATGGTGAAGTCTGAAAGCTGAGGCACTTACGCGTTGGGCTGAGCCATCCAAAGGGGTGTTGCCTCCTTCCTTCTCTCTAGGTCAAGAGCCTAAAGCTTTTCACCCCCGGGGTGGCTCAGTGGTTGAACATTGACCCATGAATCAGGAGGTCACGGTTCGATTCCCAGTCAAAGCACATGCCTGGGTTTGGGGGCATGCAGAAAGCAGCTGATTGGGTATTCTCTCTCATCACTGATTTTTCTATCTCTCTCCCTCTCCCTTCCTCTCTCTGAAATCAATAAATACATATATACATATATACATATATATATATGTGTGTGTGTATATATATGTATATATATGTATATATATGTATATATATGTATATATAATATATATATTAAAAAGAGGCTGGAAGGGTAGTGTGGAGCCAGAGGCAGCTGTGTTTGAATTCTAGCTCTGCTATTTCCAGCTGTGTGACTTTAGGCAAGGTACTTAACCTCTCTGAACCTCCACATGCTCATCTATAAACTGACTCTAACAGTGCCTACTGAGAGTATTGCTTTGGGGATCCAGGGAAATGGGAAACTTTGTCACTGTCTGAGACACATAGTAGGCACCTTGGTAAGTGTTTGTTCTTTCCGGGGCAGGTATCCTACAGGCAGTCGGCAGCTCAGAACATTTAGCTTTTGGGTTCTACAGACCCTAAGTTTTTCCCACTACTACTTCCCTGCTTCATGAGAATGTCCCCACAAAGGAGAGAAGGAGGAAAGGGGAGGATTTGAGTCAGAGCCTACTTGGTACCTGGCTGCGGCACCGGGGACAGCACGGGGACTCAGTGATGTCATCACAAACCCATCCGAGGACACGGAACACGGAGCAGTCCGGGAAGGCATTTGGCTTGGCAGAGATTCCCGAGATGGCTCTGAAGGACAGAAAACATTGGCTGGAGTAGCTCCCTCCCAGCTCCGCTCCAACAGTCCTGAGTCCTCTGCCCAGCAGGCCGGGCTGGTTCTGGGAGAAAGTGGCCGGTGTGCTGCCACAGGCCTTTTCCGCAGCTTGTGTCCTCCGGTTGTCTTCTGTCAGGAGAGCTACAAAATGGGGTCTTCTTCTGGAACCTGGATATGGCCAGGCATGCAGAGGAACACAGACCTTCTGTTGTTTGTTTAGCAGGAGCAGCCCCTGGGTTTGCGTTAGTAAGTGTCCAGGATGGACTCTGGCAAAGGTGGCAGCTCCTCGGTTGTAGAGCATCCTACTGCAGGGGGCGCTGTGCACGCCCACTCGTGTGACCCGGCCCCTTGGTTGTGCACTGCAGCCCTGGAGGCTGAGACAACTATTTCAGAGATGATGGACTTGAGACTTGGAGAGATTCATAACTTGCCCCAGGATAGAGAGCCAACAAGTGCCAGGACGGGGATTTGAACCGGGCTCTCAGCTGCTGTGATGTTTTAACATGTAGGGCCTTTCACCACTTTTTTAGCAAAAGGAAAGCTTCCTCCGACTTCCCTGCTAGCCGACTGCCTCTCAGAGAAATGCACATCGGCAGGCTTAACTGGTGTTTGTCTAAAACATGCAAAAATGCAGGAGCCCTATTTGGGGACATGGATTTTTATTTCTAGTAAGGCTCTTCCATTTGGGCTGGCATATGAAGCAGTGGCAGTGGCCGCCTATAGCAAGGCAGCAATTAGGGACCACGAGCGCTTGTGCCCGAGAGCCACAGAGGCTTGGCATCGGAGGCAGCAGCAGAGGCTCTGGGGCACCCGGTTGGGGCACGCACTTGTGGTTACAGAGCCGAGACGCCTGCTGCAGTCTAGGCTGGCGCAGGCACCCTTGGGATGGGGGTCTGAGGCACCGCTTTGCCTTTAAGGGGTCCCATTGTCAGGAACTCATGGCTTAGGTGGAAGAAGCTTAGAGTGTGAGAGAGAGAACCCGCACAAAGGCGTGTCTGAGCAAAACACGTCCAACATGGGGGGTGAACGCCTTTGGGAATTTGGGGTGGGGGGTGGGGAGGAGGAGGGCAGGACAGATGGTAAGTCCTAACCTCAACATGCACTTTGCTCCTTTTCTCTTCTTTGATGGGAAATCTTGTCCAAAGGTGTTCGACCCAAGACCCTGTGGCTGTTTCGGCAAATGTTTTCTTTGGGGGAGTAGATCGCTACCACTGAAAATTCTGCAACGGTGGCAGATTTTTAAAAATTTACATAGCACATTTTTTGGTTTTTCCTAGCAAGGCACTCAGTTATTTAGCATGTGCTAAAGCCTTAAGAAATCATTTTCCACTGATGGTGCAATTGCATTCCTGGGCTCCCCTCTCCAGCCCAGCAAGAAGCCATCAGAACCGAAGGCTGCCTTTGTTCTTCTTTCAATCACAGAGTGTCTGAGATTTAAGTCCATATTTGGCAAAACCAACGTGGTGTGACCAAAGTAGAAAGAAATGACCGTGATGGGAACTTAAACTGAACCCCTGTGTGCACGTGGGTCACGGAGCTGCACCTGCAGGGGGGCCAAGTCCCATGATTCTCTTCTTCCCGGTGAGATCACTCCCTGCAGCGGGGGCTCCTGTCTCTGGCCCCCATCCACCTACCTCTCTCTCCTCGGGGGTTTCTCTCTCGTTCTTTGTGCCGGTCACAACGGGCACAAGATCCCTTGGCTGCCATCTTCCCGAGGGTACACCACATCTGGCATCTGACGCTGTGGGTCCCCACCCAGAGTGGACTGCCCCCCAGCTCTGAGATGGAGGCATGCTGGGGGATACTGACCACCCCAGGAGGACAGAGGTCAGAGGGACTTTTGCTCAGGAAGACTGGGGGGGACCCCTGATGTTCGGGGAGTAGAAGAAAAAGGCTGCAGTTCTGCTGAGTGGTCAGCCCACAGAACACATTCCTCATTTATAAACACTAGGACCCATTTCTCTGAATCTTCCAAGGTATTTTTTGAACACCCCACAATGTTTCCATGTCTGCTCAAGCTCATTTGCCCAGATCAATTCCAAGTGCACAGGCTGCTACCCTGTCTGCCTCTGGGACCGTTCATGTCATCAGCAGGCTCAGCGGGACTTTCAGTGTTTCCCACTCTGTTTCTTCCTTAAATTAATTTCTCTTTTTGGAGATCGACCAGAAGTAAGGTGCAGATACACCGGTCCCTCCTCACTAAACCCCAGGCTATGTTTTGACTCTAAAATTACAGGACTGGTTGACATCGAAACTCAGTGCAGCCAGCATGTCTGGGCTCTGTCGTCCTTCCATTCATTTATCCCACAAGTAGGGTGAGTGCCTACCCTGTGCCAGGCACTGTGCTCTGCCCCAGGGATGCAGGAGGAAATAGGACAGGCGGCTTCCCTGACCTCATGGAACTTAAATCTGGTGTCAATAATGGTAAGAGCAAGGGTGTCTGGTATATGACGTCAGGCACAGTGCTAAACCCATGACATGGATTATCACATCATTGGAACCACACAAATACCCTGGAAGGCAGGGCCTGACATACCACCGCCTACCACCTGTTTCAGCGGATGAAATGTTGTTGGACATAGTCACGCTCATCGGTGTACATATTATCTATGATTGCTTTTCTGCAGCAATGGTAGAGTGCAGCGGTTTCCTAATGGTTTCGGCAGCGACCATGTGGTCCGTAAAGCCAATATAAACTATGATCTGACTTCTACAGGAAAAGCTGACTGACTTTGCTTTCTGAGAAGATCAAGTCACCAACCTTGGTTTTGGTTGCTGTCCCCACTGTACAGATGAGGACACTGAGGCTGGGCAGTGGGGCCAGGGAGTGGTGGAGTTGGGACGCTTCACGCATGCAGTCTCGCTCCACAGCTTGGACGGGTCTGGTTCTTGCACAGCTCAGTTACTGACTGCACGACCTGAGTCTTCTCTGAGTCTCTGTTGACGTCCCTGGTGCTTGGTGGCAGATCGGGCTCCCTGGGAAGCAGGGTCTGGATGGTGGACGTTTTTGAGGGACGTGCCCTCAGGAACACCCGTGGGGAACACAGGGCACAGGAGTGGGCCGGAAATTGAGCTGGATGCTGTCTCAGCAGTGGCCTCGGCCACCCTTCCAGATAGCTCTGGGATGGCCTTTCAGAGTTTCCCTAGTTGTGCAAGGAGGGATAGACCCTTATACCCCACCCAGACCAGACCTTGGAGGTAGGTTGCCCCAGGAAGGGAGAGTGACCTTCAGTGAGGTGGTGGGTCCTATCAGCAGATAGCAGCCCCGGTAGCTGGGGCAGCAAGCCCGCCAGTCCTGCAGGGGACCCGGCGCCCCACATGCTGTGCCTTTGCTCAGGTGAGAGAATGCGGCCCAGTGCTGGGTAACCCACCGCCTGCTCAGAGCCCTGGCACTTAGGAAGCGCCGGCCCCATGTCCCCTCCTCCTCCTGATTGATCAAACGATAGGATTTCAGGACCTCCTTCCCAGGCCTTTGAAGTACACCCCGTGGACAGCATGGAGCAGCTCTCGTGGTGGATGTGATGTGTCTGGGCTGTGATTGACGTTGGCCCCGCCCCCGGAATGCGGGGAATTGTGTGTCTTGCTGCAGAGAAGTGACGTGGGTGTGCATGTAGACCATCCAGGTGAGGCTCTGGGTCCACAGAGACTGCGTTTACTTATCTCCATCCTCTCCCATGTTCAGTTTCAGTGGCGATTCTCCCGCGAAGACATGCACAGCAGGCAGATGAGGAAATCCAAGGGTAAACTCAGTGCCAGAGGCAAGCGACAAGCCGAAGAAAACGACCGGAGTCTGGAAGACCAGTTTTCCAAGGCCGGGGACGTGGGAAACTGCGTGCTGAACCAGCAGCTGGAGGACGGAGCCTCAGAGGAGGCGAAGGGCCCCATCCAGGAGGTCACCAGAGAGCCGCTGTGTCCCGATGGCCAGCTCTGTGTGGAGGGCGGGGCCGTGCAGAACGGTCCTGCCGGCCACTGTGGGGCCTTGGCCGGGGGCTGTGAGGGGCCCTCAAGTCCTGGAGAGGATGCTGGGGAGGGAGGTACTGAGGCAGTGGCTGCAGAGACAGCAGACTACTGAGTCCCAGCCGTTGGCGCTGCAGCCAGACCAGTCGGTCACCCGAGGCACTGCCGGCAGCCCGGTCGGGCTGCTTGGCCCTGGTGCCCTGTGTTCCCTTTGGCTTGGCTTGACCTCACTTGTGAGCTCGCCCAGGCCCTGCAGGGCTGGCTTCCTGACTGTTGGCTCCTGCACATCCATTTGAAATGTGTCATACTGCCCCCCTGTTAGAATGCAAGAGGTCAGGTTACTTCTTCTCAACCTCAGGGCGGAAGGCCCAGCCCTGGCTCCACACTCCTCAGTGGGAGGGTCTGGACCGTCCAGTGCCTGTGTCCGCCCCCCAGGGCCTCCAGGGAGCATGCGGTCAAGTCCATGGACCTCCCTAGCAACAAACCGGGGCTGTGTGGGGTTCACTCCCACAGGCTGCCGGGGCAGTGTCCACCCTCTGCTGTTCCCTGTCAGCTGCTCTTCACCTAAAGCCCAGGACCCTGCTGCTGTGGCAAAGAAAAGGACCTTAGGGGAGGGCAGGTGCCCACCTCCTGGCTTTTCTCTAGCATCCCATAGACACTGGTAATCTAGAGATGAAAAGGTAACTCTGTTCGTGCACCTGCTTTTGCAGAATGTCCAAGGAAGTATCCTGTGTTAGTGTTAATGCCAAAATTTTTTTAAAGGTTTTGTATCCAGCACATCGTGTGAACTCGCGTTCTTTCTGTCATTTCGGGGCAGCCCGGCGGGTTGGGTGCCCTTGTCGTGTGCTATTTTAATCCGTGCGTCATTGGCCAAGTTGCTTCCCATGTATGCTATCACGTGTTTATATTGTCCAGAAGGTATCGTTAAGGCTTTACGTAGATGCAACTGGTGTCTTCACCAAAACAACAGCCTGTCTCTTTCTTGTTTAGTTACTTAAAGCAATAAATCATCCATGAGTTAGAGCCCTGTGCGTATTGAGTATTAATTGTGTCACAATGAGAAAGCCCTGGCCTGATGGTCCCAAGGACTCCACCCCACATCCCTACGTGACTAACTCCGGCAGCGCGATGGCCTTCGAGAAAAGGACGCTCCTGTGGGAAACAAAGGAGCCAGCCGGACACACGGTGCCTCCTGGTCCTTTGTAGAAAGAATGCAGACAGTGGGATTCAGGTGCCGCCAGGTAAGTCAGGGCAGAGCCGCCCGCCATGGCATGTGGTGATGGAGGAAATGCCTTTTGAAAACAGCCCCACACCAGTTTCTGTCTAATAAGCATGTTTCCAAGCTTTTAAGGAAATTATTGAATGAGGCAAGTCTTTTCCCTCTTTGCAAGTTCGCTCGACTACACCACACCTGTGATACATTTGTATAAAGAACTGAAGGCCCTTGTGCAGCCACGACGTAGTCATTTTCCTCTTGATGTTGGCGCCTACTCCCCCCCGCCTGGCCCCTAGCGCTCACCTGGAAAGGTTGAAGGCTCTGTCCAAAGAGAACTATTTAAAATGGCGTTTTCCATAATTGTACCCAGGAATATCTACATGGCATATTGATTTAATAAAAATACTATCTCTTCACCCATATCTTAGAGGATCACCGCTTTTTAAAAATATGCTAGTTGGCAGCAGCCTGGGACAAAAGCAACGTATCTTCCACGGCTCTGAAAAGCATATGAATGATCCCAGGCTTCGTCCCCCCAGCGGACAGCCTTGCGCCACTCAGGGTTGGGGACATTTTTCAATAATTAAATGACATTCGTGTTGGCTGAAGGTGTCATGAGGGGGAAAAAAATACATTTGAATTCCTCAGGAAGTTGGGCCCTAGAGCCAAACTAACAAATCATTCCTGAAGGTCTTGTTTTTTCCCCCTCACTTCTTCACACCCCTGATCTGGCAAAATACCAATCTTACAGGCGGTTCTCAAATTGGTTGCACCTTAGGATCACTGGGGGGACTTTAAAAACGCAATACCTGGCCCGGCCAGTGGGCCTCAGTGGTTGAACTCGACCTATGAACCAAGAGGTCACAGTTCCATTCCCGGTCGAGGCTTCTTCATGGAGGCCCTTTTAAGGAATGGAAAATAACTTACCTGGCCCTAGCTGGTTTGGCTCAGTGGATAGAGCATCACTGGTCTACGGACTGAAGGGTCCCGGGTTCAATTCCAGTCAAGGGCACATGCCTGGGTTGTGGGCTTGATCCCCAGTAGCAGGCGTGCAGGAGGCAGCCGGTCAATGATTCTCATTATTAATGTTTCTATTCTCTCTCCCTCTCCCTTCCTCTGAAATCAACTTTTTAAAAATTTATTTATATATATTTTTTTAATCTGCTTAAAGAAATGCAGTTGTATCGCTCTCCAGTGCACACAGCCACACGGTCGAAGTAGTGAGGACTGGAGAGCCTTCAGGCACCTGTCTTAATGAAGCGGGAAGGCTGTTCTATACCGCGCTCATTCAGCAGAAAAGCCCAGCCAGGCTTTGGGATCAGGCAGAGCTGGTTAGCACGCTCACCGCACAACCTGCAAATGTAACCTCAAGTTCATTTCTCCACACCTGCCAGCATCAACCTCCTCCCGTGGGAAATGGGACTAATGACGCCCACCTCGTCGGATTTTTGTGAGGAATAATGTGTGGTAAGGTGCTTGGTTCGAAGGCAGCAGTTCATCACAATGCCCATCGGTCATAAATGTGGCAGAGATGGTCGGTGCTCGCCCAATCCCCATGGGCTCCTGTACTGCCCAGTCCCTCTTGCAGTTTGGAGCCGTGTGACTGGCTTCTGGCCTGTGGGACATGAGCAGATATGATGTCAGACAGTTATGAGCCCGGCCTTTAGAAATAGCCCATGCAACCCCAGCCCTCTCTTCATCTCCAATGCTCTTGGCATAGTTCAAGGTGGACCATAGCATGAAGGATAAGGAAACCTTGACTGTGCTAAGCCACTGGGATTTGAAGGTTTATCTCTTACTGAAGCACAGCATAGCCCATCCTGACTAATAGACATATTGTAATGTTTATAAAATCTATCCGTGGTTTATATGTAACAATCCTTTTTTTAAATCTCCAAATTGATCACACTTCCCTGGAATTATGCGCAATAGGACCAGCTTCAAAAAAGAAAAACAAAAACATTAAGAGACATTCTAATTCATTTCTTATGAAGCACATTTTATCAGAACTCTAAACATGTTAATTATAGCCTTTCCTAAACCACAAGACATCTTTCAAGAATAGCTCTCAGATGATGTCACGGTGCTTATTAGTAGGAATATGTTGACCCCAAATTCATCAGTCTTGGAACACCCTTTGGTTGGGCTCATCCCCGGCGCAGGGCGTGCTGGCCCTGGGGGGCTGCCGGGGGCAGCAGAGTCGGCTCTTGCTACGGGGCTCACAGCCTGTGCAGGCCAAGAGCAGCAGCTGGGACTACAGAGGAAGTTCTGGAAGGGTTGGTGAGAGGGGGACGGGAAAGGGGGCCTGGGGTGCAGACAGGCAGCCTGGAGGCAGCTCAGCAGGGACTCCCCACTTGTTTGTGCAGGTCCTGTTTCCAGCAGCCCTCCCACAAGGGCTGGGAGCTGCCTGCATGAGCAGCGCAGGGTGTGCCCTGGTCTGCTCAGTGACCTGCCAAACGAGGCCGCTTCCCGGAGAGCCTGGGCTTCCTGGACCTGGCTCCCAGAGTTTGGAACAAGGAAGCAAGTGAACTTTAGTTCTAAGTACAAGACCCGACAAGCCTTTGGCTGGGATTTCTGTGGTGGCTGTCGCCAGAGAAGGAAGCAGAGCGATGTTCACCACAGGTTCCTGTTGATAATGATCATCTCTGTGGCCAGGCTCGGAAAGCTAACTGAACCCGGCAGGCGCTTGCTCCCCCAGCCCCTGCAGGACGGGGCGGGGTGGGGTGGCATTCCCCCCGGCAGGGGCGGCCAGGCCACGCGGGAAACCTGTGTGTTTATGTGGGCATGAGGGATTGGATCATTCACTGTATAGATATATAGTTTTAACTTTTTTTATTTTTAAACAACAAATGTTTATGTCTCACACTCTGGGAGCTGGGAGGTCCAAGATCAAGACACTGGCCGATTTGGCATCTGGTAAGAACCTGTCTCCTGATCTCATGGATGGCCATTTCCTCATTGTTGCCTCACAGGGCAGAAAGAGGCAGCAGATACATAGTTTTTAGTGCCTACACTACAGTGCTGAGTGCTGGGTGCTGGGTGCTGGGTGCTGGGAAGACAGCAGTGAAGAGACAGACCAGCTCTGGCTCCTTTAGAGCTTACAAATGACAATAAGCGGTGGCCCTAGCAATTATCCTATATAATAGAAGGCTAATATGCAAATAGACTGAACAGCAGAACAACCAAACAACTGAACAACCGGTCACTATGATGTGTGCTGACCACCAGGGGGCGCATGCAGAACATGGCAGGTGTAGGCAGCAGGCAGCAGAGTGCAGAACATGGCAGGTATCGGCCACAGGCGGGACGGTGGAGCAGGTGAGCAGTGGTGCCAGACCAAGGCAGGGCACTGGTCGCTGTCATCGGAGTAAGCCTCAGGTGGTTACTGAAAGTTCTTTGCTCCCGTGCGTGTACCACGGTCCCGCCCGGCGCATGGGCGCTTGCACCTGCTGCCGGCGCTGGAGCCACCTCACATCCACTGCTGGTGCCCGGCACCAGCCCCGATCGCCCCTCAGGGCTTCTCCACCTCCCCCTGCTCCTGAGGGGTGATTGGGGCTGGCAGCCACCTTTCGCACCCGCTGATGACGCCAGCCCCGCTCGCACCCGCTGCTGGCACTGGCCCCAATCGCTCCGCGCCATCAGTGGGTGTGAGTGGTGCCGGTGCCATCAGTGTGGCTGCCAGCAGATAGGGGACCAGGACGGACGGGGGGAGTGGGGAGGGAGAGAAGGAGGCAGATTGATAGTAATTCAGGAGCAAATGTGGACAATTGATTGGAGAATGAGGGAGATATTGAACCTGCCAGCCGTGCCAGAAACAGGTGCATTGTCTGGAACTTTTCTAGAACCAGTCTCACGGATTGATTTTCAGGACTTAAATAATAATTCAACATTATTTTACAAAACCACTGAAACGTAAGTCTTGATTCCGTCCTTAGGACTCAAAGAACTAGGTCTTTAATTTTTGGAGGGGGTTGTTGGGAAACAGAAGCAGCTGGTGGGGAGATGCCACGGGAATGGCCTGTGGTTGTACAAAGGAAACTGTCTGTCTTGGGTCCGAGGAACAGAACCCGAGTTCTGCCCCCAAAACGATGCCTAATGGCGATGCTGGCCATCAGAGCCATGGCTGTCAGCGGGGGACCCTGCCTTGAAGACAGGGTAACGGATTCATTCATGCCAGAGATGGTTTAAAAACACAGGTCCTGCCCTAACCGGTTTGGCTCAATGGATAGAGCATCGGCCTGCGGACTGAAGGGTCCCAGGTTCGATTCCGGTCAAGGGCATGTACCTTGGTTGTGGGCATATACCCAGTATGGAGTGTGCAGGAGGCAGTTGATCGATGTTTCTCTCTCATCGATGTTTCTATCTCTCTCCCTTCCCCTCCTCTTCCACAATAAAATTTATTTTAAAAAAACAACTAAAAAAATAAAAAACACAGGTCCTATTGGGGTTGACTGGTGAAAAAGAAAAAAAACGTTTTTCACCCTGTAAATAAATGCAGTAAATTTTACACTAAAAATATTTAACTGTGCTGCTCACTGGTCATTAAGTTCAGTATGGGTGTTTTTTTCCTGCTGCCTCTAAATAATATAAAGGCTTAATGTTGATAAGAAATAGATTTCACTTATCAGGGAAAACTTTAAAATGCTTCCTATAATGAGCCTCTGTATTTGTGAACCTTCGGTCCTGAGTCCCTAATATCTTGTTGATTTTTCAAAGAAAATAACAAGAAAATCATCTCGGAAGGAAGGACAACCAGCCAACCAGCCAGCTCGCCAGTTTCTGGATCCACAAAATGCCTAATAACTGT